ATATATATATATATAAAAGATCCTGTCAGTCCAAGGGCGTATTGTTACAGTAAACACCAACGACCCAGATTGAATCTAGGCCGATCCGATGATCACAGATTTCAGATAATTTTTTAATTTTATTTTTTTTTACAAATTAGAGTGATCTGAAATTTAGAATATGTATACATAAAAAATAGATGAATATTTCAAAAATATAACACAAATATTTTACATGAAAAAATTAACCAAAATACCCCCATAACATTTAGGGAGTATTTTGATCAATGTTGTTTTTACGGATTACTTTTTTTATATGTTTATTAGATGCGCCTTAATGAGAAAAGCATACACCTAAAATTTCAAATGATTTGGATTTATAGAAAAAAAATAAAAAAACAAACACGAAAAGAGGTTGTCACCGTTAGATCGGCCCAGATTCAATCTGTACATTTGGTGTTTACTATAGCGGTCAGCTAGTAGGCGTACAGAATCCACTCCCATATATATATATATATATATGGAAGATACTACAAAACTTCTATAGACGAAAATGAACAGTGATTTCACCTACCCTCATCACCGTCCAAAGTTTATCGCACGGTCACGATTGTCTGATAGTGTTTCATTTTTCATTTTTTTTTTTCTACAAATTGTAATAACCTGAAATTTGGAGCGTGTGTTCATAAAAAATAGGTGAATTTATGAAAAATATCAAAAACAATATTTTACATGAAAAACTTGAAGAAAATACCCCCAAAACTTTTTGGGGGTATTTTGGTCAATATTAGTTTTACGAATTATATTTTTATTAGGTGTACCTCACAAATATGTACATATACTCTAAATTTCAGGTCATTCTGATTTGTATAAAAAAAATAAAAAATGAAATACTACCGGACAATCGTGATCGTGTGATGAACTTTAGACTGTAAAATGAGGGTAAGCAAAAATTACTGCTCTTCATTTTCACCTATAGGCGCTGGGAAACTCATATATATATATATATATATATATATATATATATGAGCAATGATTTAATGCAACGGTTGTATCATGATCAAGATACCAGCTAGGACTTCTTCATCTTCATCAATGGTATCATTTGATATTACCTCGCTTTCCTTTGAGTAAGCCCCATCTATGTCCTTAAATGATCCTGGTGATGGTTCTGACTTGGGATCGGCTTCACATTCTTCAATTGTCATCTCTTCAGAGTTATATTCAAATAAATCTTCACTATAGTCAGGCTCGTGTTCTATCATGACTTCATCTGGCTCTTGTCCCTGCATCGTTTCATCGAGCTCGTGCCCCAACATGATTTCATTGGGCTCTTGCCCCAATGTGACTGGTGACCGATCTTGGCTCTTTGCTCTCTTATAATGTGAAACCATTTCAAGCATCGAGTCAAAAGAGAAATATCTAGTGGAGACCAATTCTCCAAGGGTCATTATTAGTCTCTCTCAAGTCCCATGATATTGCTCAACAAAACGTTGAAACAATTCATTGGGAGTTTGCTTCGATTATTTTGACATCACCTTTGGAAACCACATCAAGGGTTGTCTAGATAGGATTGTATTGAACATGGACTTCAGACAACACGGTTTCTCTTCAAGTGCAGGAACCATCAATAGGTAAGTGGTGATGTGATTTTTAGGATCTCCTTTCCCATTGAACTTGTTTTCAATCTAAAAGAATTCGAAACCCGGGAGAAGGGGTTCGACATCCTCATGAACATCCTTGACATAAGAACGTTGCAGGAATATTTTTTGGACTCCGATCTTAGCCAAGGTCTCTTTAAATGTGGATAATTTGCCTCTCGGCTGGGCGAGCTCAACTGACTCAAGGGTTTTAACCCAAGAGATCTGTTGGTTGCCCAAAACCGATGGCACAATTTGTGGTGAATGAGATGCAGCTGATATGGGCTGCACTGAACTAGGGGTAGGCTGGATCTGCAAGACGACTAGAGCTACATTAGGTGTTTACACAGACGAAGAGGCCTGAACCAGGGGCGGTTGGAGTCTTGTACGGAGTAGGCGTCGGCAATGGTGCCTGAGTCGAGGATAGTACTGATAAGTTTGAAAAGTAACTTGGACTGGAACAGCAGGGGGCTAAAAAGCCGGTGCCGGCGCATGAAAGTGGACAACAGGGGCTTGATGCACAGGATGTCCTGGGTAAGGCTGACTAAAGGCCGAAGGTGCGGCCGGAGGGTGTGGGAGCCAACAGGTATATCTGACTCTGAGGGTACTGAGTTAGAACAGGGGTTGAATAGGCCACTTTTGAATAATGGTGTGGGACCGAGGCGCCTGAAGAGGCTACACCAGAGGGTGACTATACATGACCTAAGGAGGGTTAGATCTAGACTGGCTATGGGATGGACAATCCTGTGGTCGAGCCGATCCTATAAACGGTAGAGGAAGAGAAGATTGGTAGTGTTGACTCACTAACAAGGTGGAACTCACATGATTTACTTTGTTAAGGGGCTAGAGAGGTTCTCTGACTCTTACCTGACTGACGACTCGATGCCCTAGGTGGGGCATGTGGCTCAATAAGGTCAGCACGCCTCAAGAAAGCCTTGACCTCGGGTAAGTTCTTAAGACACTCGATTGAAAAGGACTCGTAGTCCATAGAATTAGATAAGGGTGAATCTTGACAAATAAATGCATGACTTGATGAACTCTTAGGTTTAGGCGAAGATGTTTGACTCTCTAGTTTTCCTTGCTGGATAGCATTGTTTAGGCCCTGACTTAATCTTCGGCAGTACTCTATGTTAGCCTGCCTTATGAGTTCATCATCTAGGTTGTTATGGACCTTACTGAGTTGGTGACCCTTAGAATGGATCTTTTGAGAAGGTGGGCAGTGTCCTTAATTGGGCATCATCAACTTTAGGTTTTGACATTTGTGGGAGATACACCCTTAACTTGGATGACGGTGTAAGAAGAGCTACCAGTTGGGCAGCATCACCCGCAGACTGAGAAACTTGAAGGAGGTGTGGAAAAATCAAAACTTTGTGATGTGCATGCAATAAGTGATCAAAAAGCACATGTAAAAAACGACTTAATCTCTAATGCAAGATAAACATGAATTGAAAGAAGATCTAGTCTAATCAAGATGTGGTAAAAAAAAAAAGACTGGTAGATAAAGTTAAGAAACAAGATGGGATAAAGTCTAATTAAAACAAGATAAGATAAAAGAAAATATTTGTTTGAATTATATATTTTTTTTCTTTTTTTTCCATTTCATCAAAAAGATAAATATGCTTTTAAAAGAAAAAAAAAAGATGCTTCTAGAAGATAAAAATATGCTTTTAAAGAAGATAAATATGATTCTAAAAAAGATAAAGATGCTTTTAAAAGAAATCAATATGATTTAAAACCTGATAAAAAACGCTCTCAAGAAGATAAAGATGATCTAAAAGATGATAACTCAAAGAAGATAAAAATTATTGAAAATATGATAAGGAATGCTTTAAATAAGATAAAGACAATCTAAAGAAGAAAAAGATGATCCAAAGATGATGAGCATAAATGAAAGAAGATCTAAAAAAAGATGATATAAAAGATGATCAAGATGGATCTAAATATATTCTAAAAAAAAAAAAATGATAAAGATGATCTAAATGATGAATATAAAAGAATATCTAAAGATAAAGATGATCAAGATGGATCTAAAAGAATATGATATAAAAAAAGATAATAAAGATGAATCTAAAAGAAGATGATCTAAAGAAGATAATAAAGATTGATCTAAAAGATCACAAACATTAAGAGAATAAAGATCCTCAACTTCTTAAGGAGAGAGAAAAAAAAAGATAAGATCTAGAAAGAAAAGATAGAATCTAATAAAAATAAGATATTTTCAAATCTCTCTCTTTTTTTCTTTTTATTCACTTTTTTATTTTTATTTTTGCTTAAAAATAAATATGATAAAAAGGAAGAAACTTTTTAAAGTCTAAAATACAAATATGAAGCTCAAGGGCCCCAAGCTGGACGTCAAATTGTTTACACTCCAATCTGCACCGATCTCTAGGATGAG